CTCTACTCTAATGTACTCTACTCTACTGTACTCCACTCTACTCTACTCTGCTCCACTCAATCCCAACTGGCCGTGTTTAACCAGTTCCAGGTCCTTCTTTAGTCTTGGCCCCAGTTCTAAGATGATAAATTATAATTGAAACACAACCAGGTAGAGTAGAGTACAGTAGAGCAGAGAGAGGAGGGGAGAGTACAGAGGGGAGAGTAGAGAGAGAGAGGGGAGAGGGCTCTGGTCCCGCCCTGCTCTCTCCCTCTCTGGTCTCTCTCTGGTCTCTCTCTGGTCTCTCTCTGGTCTCTCTCTGGTCTCTCTCTGGTCTCTCTCTGGTCTCTCTCTCTGGTCTCTCTCTGGTCTCTCTCTGGTCTCTCTCTGGTTTCTGCGGCTGTAAAGTGTCAGACTGTGGTTGTGTCCTTAGGCAAGACACTTCCCCCACATTAGAATGAGTCTGGTGTGTGTGTGAGTGGTTGGTGGAGGTGGGAGGGGCTTCTGTCAGTGTGCCCCAGGGCAGCTGTGGCTACAGTAGTAGTTTATCACCAGTGTGTTTGGAGAGAGAGGATAATGATGATAATAATCTTATTATTATGAGCCCTGTCGCTGCAGAGACCTGTGGTTTGAACATCCATGTTATTCTTCTGTCTCCTTCATCTGGAAAAGCTGAGGCTTCTCCAGATGAGCTGCAGTCCGTCCCTCTGAGGCAGCGGCTCTACTCCGAGCTCCTCCTATGCAACTGAGCTCCTCCTTCTATATCTCTAGACCAGAGAGAGACCAGAGAGAAACTGGAGACACCAAAGAGGGGGACCAGAGAGAGACCAGAGAGACCAGAGAGAGACCAGAGAGAGACCAGAGAGAGACCAGAGAGAGACCAGAGAGAGACCAGAGAGAGACCAGAGAGAGACCAGAGAGAGACCAGAGAGAGACCAAAGAGGGGGACCAGAGAGAGACCAGAGAGAGACCAGAGAGAGACCAAAGAGGGGGACCAGGGAGAGACCAGAGAGAGACCAAAGAGGGGGACCAGAGAGAGACCAGAGAGACCAGAGAGAGACCAGAGAGACCAGAGAGAGACCAGAGACCAGAGAGAGACCAGAGAGAGTGACCAGAGAGAGACCAGAGAGAGGGACCAGAGAGAGACCAGAGAGAGACCAGAGAGAGACCAGAGAAAGACCAGAGAGAGACCAGAGAGAGACCAGAGAGAGGGACCAGAGAGAGACCAGAGAGAGACCAGAGAGAGACCAGAGAGAGACCAGAGAGAGACCAGAGAGAGACCAGAGAGAGGGACCAGAGAGAGACCAGAGGGAGGGACCAGAGAGAGACCAGAGAGAGACCAGAGAGAGACCAGAGAGAGACCAGAGAGAGAGACCAGAGAGAGAGACCAGAGAGAGACCAGAGAGAGGGACCAGAGAGAGACCAGAGAGAGGGACCAGAGAGAGACCAGAGAGAGGGACCAGAGAGAGACCAGAGAGAGGGACCAGAGAGAGACCAGAGAGAGGGACCAGAGAGAGACCAGAGAGAGGGACCAGAGAGGGACCAGAGAGAGACCAGAGAGAGGGACCAGAGAGAGACCAGAGAGAGGGACCAGAGAGAGACCAGAGAGAGGGACCAGAGAGAGACCAGAGAGAGGGACCAGAGAGAGACCAGAGAGAGACCAGAGAGAGGGACCAGAGAGAGACCAGAGAGAGGGACCAGAGAGAGACCAGAGAGAGGGACCAGAGAGAGACCAGAGAGAGACCAGAGAGAGGGACCAGAGAGAGACCAGAGAGAGGGACCAGAGAGAGACCAGAGAGAGGGACCAGAGAGAGACCAGAGAGAGGGACCAGAGAGAGACCAGAGAGAGGGACCAGAGAGAGACCAGAGAGAGACCAGAGAGAGACCAGAGAGAGGGACCAGAGAGAGACCAGAGAGAGGGACCAGAGAGAGACCAGAGAGAGACGAGAGAGAGACCAGAGAGAGACCAGAGAGAGACCAGAGAGAGGGACCAGAGAGAGACCAGAGAGAGACCAGAGAGAGACCAGAGAGAGGGACCAGAGAGAAACCAGAGAGAGACCAGAGAGAGACCAGAGAGAGGGACCAGAGAGAGACCAGAGAGAGACCAGAGAGAGGGACCAGAGAGAGACCAGAGAGAGGGACCAGAGAGAGACCAGAGAGAGACCAGAGAGAGAGACCAGAGAGAGACCAGAGAGAGAGACCAGAGAGAGACCAGAGAGAGACCAGAGAGAGGGACCAGAGAGAGACCAGAGAGAGGGACCAGAGAGAGACCAGAGAGAGACCAGAGAGAGAGACCAGAGAGAGACCAGAGAGAGAGACCAGAGAGAGACCAGAGAGTAGCACTCACAGTTGTCTCCCCATCTCGTACCTTTCTGGTGTTTGTCCGAGTGTGATTCAACTGTAGACTGTGCTGTAGGCTCTTTTGTCTCACACCTGGTCCTGAGCTGAATACACAGTTGCTCTGCGTTCCTGGTCATGGCCTGGATTGCTCTGGAGCATATGTGCTGATGGATCCACAGATTATAGGCTCCACAGCAGTTGGTGTCCAGAGAGAGAGACCAGAGGGAGACTAGAGAGAGAGAGACCTGAAAGAGACAAGAAGGAGACCAGAGAGAGACCAGAGGCGGAACCAGAGAGAGACCAGAGAGAGGCCAGAGAGAGGCCAGAGAGAGACCAGAGAGAGAGACCTGAAAGAGACAAGAAGGAGACCAGAGAGAGACCAGAGGCGGAACCAGAGAGAGACGAGAGAGAGACTAGAGAGAAACCAGAGAGAGACCAGAGAGAGACCAGAGAGAAACCAGAGAGAGACTAGAGAGAGAGACCAGAGAGAGACCAGAGAGAGACCAGAGAGAGAGACCTGAAAGAGACAAGAAGGAGACCAGAGAGAGACCAGAGAGAGACCAGAGGCGGAACCAGAGAGAGACCAGAGAGAGACCAGAGAGAGAGAATACAGAGGCTTACGCTCAAGCTATTTATGGTCCTTGGCTAACACGTTAGCATAACATGTATGTTTAGGTACCAGCTTTAAGGCACAGTGAGACTAAAGAGAGAAGGGGAGGAGCTTCATGTTTTTGCTAGTGAAGTTATTGGTCTCTCCTCTAGTCTCTCCCTCTGGTCTTCCTCTGGTCTCCTTCTGGTCTCTGGATTAGTCAGTACATCTCTGCTGCACAGAGAGTTAGTGTTCATTCAGTTCTGTCTCTGGCCTCGTGCCCGAGACAAACATCACGTCTGTGAGGAGAGCTCCAGTCATGTGTGGTCCACGACAAACGACCAGAGAGAGACCAGAGAGAGACCAGAGGGAGACCAGAGGGAGACCAGAGGGAGACCAGAGAGAGACCAGAGGGAGACCAGAGGAAGACCAGAGGGAGACTTCTGATCCCTCTCTTCTGGTCTCCCTCTGGTCTCCCTCTGGTCTCCCTCTGGTCTCCCTCTGGTCTCTCTCTGGTCTCTCACTGGTCAGAGCTGTATTTGTACCAGTCCAATCATGGTCAACATTAGCAAACCGCAAAGACTGCAAATTATTTAAACTTTTTCACAACAAAAACAAGACGGAAGATTATCAAAACATCAGTTACATTTGTCTGTGGTCTCTGGTTTCTCTGGTCTCTCTCTCTGGTCTCTCTCTCTCTGGTCTCTCTCTTTGGTCTCTCTCTCTGGTCTCTCACTGGTCTCTCTCTGGTCTCTCTCTCTGGTCTCTCACTGGTCTCTCTCTGGTCTCTCTCTCTGGTCTCTCTCTTTGGTCTCTCTCTCTGGTCTCTCTCTGGTTTCTCTCTCTCTGGTCTCTCTCTCTCTGGTCTCTCTCTCTGGTCTCTCTCTAGTCTCTCTCTGGTCTCTCTCTGGTCTCTCTCTGGTCTCTCTCTGGTCTCTCTCTGGTCTCTCTCTGGTCTCTCTCTCTGGTCTCTCTCTCTGGTCTCTCTCTAGTCTCTCTCTGGTCTCTCTCTGGTCTCTCTCTGGTCTCTCTCTGGTCTCTCTCTGGTCTCTCTCTGGTCTCTCTCTCTGGTCTCTCTCTCTGGTCTCTCTCTGGTCTCTCTCTGGTCTCTCTCTGGTCTCTCTCTCTGGTTTCTCTCTCTCTGGTCTCTCTCTCTGGTCTCTCTCTCTGGTCTCTCTCTAGTCTCTCTCTGGTCTCTCTCTGGTCTCTCTCTGGTCTCTCTCTGGTGTCTCTCTCTGGTCTCTCTCAGGTGTCTCTCTCTGGTCTCTCTCTGGTCTCTCTCTGGTGTCTCTCTCTGGTCTCTCTCTGGTCTCTCTCTCTGGTCTCTCTCTGGTCTCTCTCTGGTGTCTCTCTCTGGTCTCTCTCTGGTCTCTCTCTTTGGTCCCTCTCTTTCTCTGGTCTCAGGACCTTCTTGCTGAGAAGCGAGAGTGATAACCACTCTGTCACTGTGCCGCCTACTTCTCTCTGGTCCGTTTCTGGTGTCTCTCTGGTCTCTGGTCTCTCTCTGGTCTCCCTCTGATCCCTGATGATGTCTCTGATGGTGTCTGTGATGGTGTCTAATGGTGTCTCTGATGGTGTCTGTAATGGTGTCTGATGGTGTCTCTGATGGTATCTTAAGGTGTCTCTGATGGTGTCTGATGGTGTCTGATGGTGCCTGTGATGGTGCCTGTGATGGTGTCTGTGATGGTGTCTGTGATGGTGTCTATGATGGTGTCTGATGGTGTCTGTCATGGTGTCTGATGGTGTCTCTCATTGTGTCTGATGGTGTCTCATGGTGTCTCTGATGGTGTGTCTAATGGTGTCTCTGATGGTGTCTGTAATGGTGTCTGATGGTGTTCTGATCGTGTCTGATGGTGTTTGATGGTGTCTCTGATGGTGTCTGTAATGGTGTCTGATGGTGTCTTATGGTGTTTGATGGTGTCTCTGATGGTGTCTGTAATGGTGTCTGATGGTGTCTCTGATGGTGTCTGATGGTGTTTGATGGTGTCTCTGATGGTATCTTAAGGTGTCTCTGATGGTGTCTGATGGTGCCTGTGATGGTGTCTGTGATGGTGTCTATGATGGTGTCTGATGGTGTCTCTCATGGTGTCTCTCATTGTGTCTGATGGTGTTTGATGGTGTCTCTGTGATGGCGTCTGATGGTGTCTCTGATGGTGTCTGTAATGGTGTCTGATGGTGTTCTGATCGTGTCTGATGGTGTCTGATGGTGTTCTGATCGTGTCTGATGGTGTCTGATGGTGTGTGATGCTGTCTGATGGTGTTTGATGGTGTGTCTGATTGTGTCTAATGGTGTCTGTGATGGTGTTCGATGGTTTTCGATGGTGTTTGATGGTGTCTTTGATGGTGTTTCTGGTGGTGTCTGATGCTGTCTAATTGTGACTCTCATGGTGTCTGATGGTGTGTGATGGTGTTTGATGGTGTCTCTGATTGCGTCTGATGGTGTCTGTGATGGTGTTTGATGGTGTCTCTGATTGCGTCTGATGGGGTCTGTGATGGTGTTTGATGGTTTTCGATGGTGTTTGATGGTGTCTCTGATGGTGTCTGATGGTGTTTGATGGTGTCTCTGATGGTGTCTGATGGTGTCTCTGATTGTGTCTGTGATGGTGTCTGATGGTGTTTGATGGTGTTTGATGGTGTCTGTGATGGTGTCTGATGGTGTTTGATGGTGTCTGATGAAGTCTCTGATGGTGTCTGATGGTGTCTCTGATTGTGTCTGTGATGGTGTCTGATGGTGTTTGATGGTGTTTGATGGTGTCTGTGATGGTGTCTGATGGTGTTTGATGGTGTCTGATGGTGTCTCTGGTGTCTGATGGTGTTTGATGGTGTCTGTGATGGTGTCTGATGGTGTGTCTGATGGTGTCTGATGGTGTCTATCATGGTGTTTGATGGTGTCTGATGGTGTCTCTGATGGTGTCTGATGGTGTCTCTCATAGTGTCTGATGGTGTCTCTCATGGTGTCTGATGGTGTCTCTCATGGTGTCTGATGTGTCTCTCATGGTGTCTCTCATGGTGTCTCTCATGGTGTCTGATGGTGTCTCTCATGGTGTCTTCCGCAGGTGCAGACGAGTGCTCAGAGTCCACAGACGACTGTCACATCGATGCTCTGTGTCAGAACACGGCTCTGTCCTTCAACTGCATCTGCAAACCTGGATACAAGGGAGACGGGCGGGGCTGCGAGGGTGAGACACGGGGGAGACGGGCGGGGCTGCAAGGGTGAGACCGGGGCTGCAAGGGTGAGACACGGGGAGACGGGCGGGGCTGTGAGGGTGAGACACGGGGGAGACGGGCGGGGCTGCGAGGGTGAGACACGGGGGAGACGGGCGGGGCTGTGAGGGTGAGACACGGGGGAGACGGGCGGGGCTGCGAGGGTGAGACACGGGGAGACGGGCAGGCTGTGAGGGTGAGACACGGGGGAGACAGGCGGGGCTGTGAGGGTGAGACACGGGGGAGACGGGCGGGGCTGTGAGGGTGAGACACGGGGGAGACGGGCGGGGCTGTGAGGGTGAGACACGGGGGAGACGGGCGGGGCTGCGAGGGTGAGACACGGGGGAGACGGGCGGGGCTGCGAGGGTGAGACACGGGGAGACGGGCGGGCTGCGAGGGTGAGACACGGGGGAGACGGCGGGGCTGTGAGGGTGAGACACGGGGGAGACAGGCGGGGCTGTGAGGGTGAGACACGGGGGAGACGGGCGGGGCTGTGAGGGTGAGACACGGGGGAGACGGGCGGGGCTGTGAGGGTGAGACACGGGGAGACGGGCGGGCTGCGAGGGTGAGACACGGGGGAGACGGGCGGGGCTGAAGGGTGAGACACGGGGGAGACGGGCGGGGCTGCGAGGGTGAGACACGGGGAGACGGGCGGGGGAGGGTGAGACACGGGGAGACGGGCGGGCTGTGAGGGTGAGACACGGGGGAGACGGCGGGGCTGTGAGGGTGAGACACGGGGGAGACAGGCGGGGCTGTGAGGGTGAGACACGGGGGAGACGGGCGGGGCTGTGAGGGTGAGACACGGGGGAGACGGGCGGGGCTGCGAGGGTGAGACACGGGGGAGACGGGCGGGGCTGTGAGGGTGAGACACGGGGGAGACGGGCGGGGCTGTGAGGGTGAGACACGGGGGAGACGGCGGGGCTGTGAGGGTGAGACACGGGGGAGACAGGCGGGGCTGTGAGGGTGAGACACGGGGGAGACAGGCGGGGCTGTGAGGGTGAGACACGGGGGAGACGGGCGGGGCTGTGAGGGTGAGACACGGGGGAGACGGGCGGGGCTGCGAGGGTGAGACACGGGGGAGACGGGCGGGGCTGCGAGGGTGAGACACGGGAGACGGGCGGGGCTGCGAGGGTGAGACACGGGGAGACGGGCAGGCTGTGAGGGTGAGACACGGGGAGACAGGCGGGGCTGTGAGGGTGAGACACGGGGGAGACGGGGCGGGGCTGTGAGGGTGAAGACACGGGGGAGACGGGCGGGGCTGCGAGGGTGAGACACGGGGGAGACGGGCGGGGCTGCGAGGGTGAGACACGGGGGAGACGGGCGGGGCTGCGAGGGTGAGACACGGGGGAGACGGGCGGGGCTGCAGGGTGAGACACGGGGGAGACGGGCGGGGCTGCGAGGGTGAGACACGGGGGAGAGGGGGCGGGCAGGGGTGTGAGGGTGAGACACGGGGGAGACGGCGGGGCTGTGAGGGTGAGACACGGGGGAGACGGGCGGGCTGTGAGGGTGAGACACGGGGGAGACGGGCGGGGCTGTGAGGGTGAGACACGGGGGAGACGGGCGGGGCTGCGAGGGTGAGACACGGGGGAGACGGGCGGGGCTGTGAGGGTGAGACACGGGGGAGACGGGCGGGGCTGCGAGGGTGAGACACGGGGGAGACGGGCGGGGCTGTGAGGGTGAGACACGGGGGAGACGGGCGGGGCTGTGAGGGTGAGACACGGGGGAGACGGGCGGGGCTGTGAGGGTGAGACACGGGGGAGACGGGCGGGGCTGTGAGGGTGAGACACGGGGGAGACGGGCGGGGCTGTGAGGGTGAGACACGGGGGAGACGGGCGGGCTGCAGGGTGAGACACGGGGGAGACGGGCGGGGCTGTGAGGGTGAGACACGGGGGAGACGGGCGGGGCTGTGAGGGTGAGACACGGGGGAGACGGGCGGGGCTGTGAGGGTGAGACACGGGGGAGACGGGCGGGGCTGCGAGGGTGAGACACGGGGGAGACGGGCGGGGCTGCGAGGGTGAGACACGGGGGAGACGGGCGGGGCTGCGAGGGTGAGACACGGGGGACGGCGGGCTGGAGGGGAACACGGAGACGGGGGGGCTGCGAGGGTGAGACACGGGGAGACGGGCGGGCTGCGAGGGTGAGACACGGGGGAGACGGGCGGGGCTGTGAGGGTGAGACACGGGGGAGACGGGCGGGGCTGTGAGGGTGAGACACGGGGGAGACGGGCGGGGCTGTGAGGGTGAGACACGGGGGAGACGGGCGGGGCTGTGAGGGTGAGACACGGGGGAGACAGGCGGGGCTGTGAGGGTGAGACACGGGGAGACGGGCGGGGCTGTGAGGGTGAGACACGGGGGAGACGGGCGGGGCTGCGAGGGTGAGACACGGGGGAGACGGGCGGGGCTGCGAGGGTGAGACACGGGGGAGACGGGCGGGGCTGCGAGGGTGAGACACGGGGGAGACGGGCGGGCTGTGAGGGTGAGACACGGGGGAGACGGGCAGGGCTGTGAGGGTGAGACACGGGGAGACGGGCGGGGCTGTGAGGGTGAGACACGGGGGAGACGGGCGGGGCTGTGAGGGTGAGACACGGGGGAGACGGGCGGGGCTGCAAGGGTGAGACACGGGGGAGACGGGCGGGGCTGCGAGGGTGAGACACGGGGAGACGACGGGCGGGGCTGCGAGGGTGAGACACGGGGAGACGGGCGGGGCTGCGAGGGTGAGACACGGGGAGACGGGCGGGCTGTGAGGGTGAGACACGGGGGAGACAGGCGGGGCTGTGAGGGTGAGACACGGGGGAGACGGGCGGGGCTGTGAGGGTGAGACACGGGGAGACGGGCGGGCTGCAGGGTGAGACACGGGGAGACGGGCGGGGCTGTGAGGGTGAGACACGGGGGAGACGGGCGGGGCTGTGAGGGTGAGACACGGGGGAGACAGGCGGGGCTGTGAGGGTGAGACACGGGGGAGACGGGCGGGGCTGCGAGGGTGAGACACGGGGGAGACGGGCGGGGCTGTGAGGGTGAGACACGGGGGAGACGGGCGGGGCTGCGAGGGTGAGACACGGGGAGACGGGCGGGCTGTGAGGGTGAGACACGGGGGAGACGGGCGGGGCTGTGAGGGTGAGACACGGGGGAGACGGGCGGGGCTGTGAGGGTGAGACACGGGGGAGACGGGCGGGGCTGTGAGGGTGAGACACGGGGGAGACGGGCGGGGCTGCGAGGGTGAGACACGGGGGAGACGGGCGGGGCTGCGAGGGTGAGACACGGGGGAGACGGGCGGGGCTGTGAGGGTGAGACACGGGGGAGACGGGCGGGGCTGTGAGGGTGAGACACGGGGAGACGGGCAGGCTGTGAGGGTGAGACACGGGGGAGACAGGCGGGGCTGTGAGGGTGAGACACGGGGGAGACAGGCGGGGCTGTGAGGGTGAGACACGGGGAGACGGGCGGGGCTGTGAGGGTGAGACACGGGGGAGACGGGCGGGGCTGCGAGGGTGAGACACGGGGGAGACGGGCGGGGCTGCGAGGGTGAGACACGGGGGAGACGGGCGGGGCTGCGAGGGTGAGACACGGGGAGACGGGCAGGGCTGTGAGGGTGAGACACGGGGGAGACAGGCGGGGCTGTGAGGGTGAGACACGGGGGAGACAGGCGGGGCTGTGAGGGTGAGACACGGGGGAGACAGGGCGGGGCTGTGAGGGTGAGACACGGGGGAGACGGGCGGGGCTGCGAGGGTGAGACACGGGGGAGACGGGCGGGGCTGCGAGGGTGAGACACAGGGAGACGGCGGGCTGCGAGGTGAGACACGGGGAGACGGGCAGGCTGTGAGGGTGAGACACGGGGGAGACAGGCGGGCTGTGAGGGTGAGACACGGGGGAGACAGGCGGGGCTGTGAGGGTGAGACACGGGGGAGACGGGCGGGGCTGTGAGGGTGAGACACGGGGGAGACGGGCGGGGCTGCGAGGGTGAGACACGGGGGAGACGGGCGGGGCTGCAAGGGTGAGACACGGGGGAGACGGGCGGGGCTGCGAGGGAGAGACACGGGGAGACGGGCGGGCTGTGAGGGTGAGACACGGGGGAGGACAGGCGGGCTGTGAGGGTGAGACACGGGGGAGACAGGCGGGGCTGTGAGGGTGAGACACGGGGGAGACAGGCGGGGCTGTGAGGGTGAGACACGGGGGAGACGGGCGGGGCTGTGAGGGTGAGACACGGGGGAGACGGGCGGGGCTGCGAGGGTGAGACACGGGGGAGACGGGCGGGGCTGTGAGGGTGAGACACGGGGGAGACAGGCGGGGCTGTGAGGGTGAGACACGGGGGAGACAGGCGGGGCTGTGAGGGTGAGACACGGGGGAGACAGGCGGGGCTGTGAGGGTGAGACACGGGGGAGACGGGCGGGGCTGTGAGGGTGAGACACGGGGGAGACGGCGGGGCTGCGAGGGTGAGACACGGGGGAGACGGGCGGGGCCGCGAGGGTGAGACACGGGGAGACGGGCGGGCTGCGAGGGTGAGACACGGGGAGACGGGCAGGCTGTGAGGGTGAGACACGGGGGAGACAGGCGGGGCTGTGAGGGTGAGACACGGGGGAGACGGGCGGGGCTGTGAGGGTAAGACACGGGGGAGACGGGCGGGGCTGCGAGGGTGAGACACGGGGGAGACGGGCGGGCTGCGAGGGTGAGACACGGGGAGACGGGCGGGGCTGTGAGGGTGAGACACGGGGGAGACGGGCGGGGCTGCAAGGGTGAGACACGGGGGAGACGGGCGGGGCTGCGAGGGTGAGACACGGGGGAGACGGGAGGGGCTGTGAGGGTGAGACACGGGGAGACGGGCGGGACTGCGAGGGTGAGACACGGGGGAGACGGGCGGGGCTGTGAGGGTGAGACACGGGGGAGACGGGCGGGGCTGCGAGGGTGAGACACAAGGGAGACGGGCGGGGCTGTGAGGGTGAGACACGGGGGAGACGGGCGGGGCTGCGAGGGTGAGACACGGGGGAGACGGGCGGGGCTGTGAGGGTGAGACACGGGGGAGACGGGCGGGGCTGTGAGGGTGAGACACGGGGAGACGGGCGGGGCTGTGAGGGTGAGACACGGGGAGACGGGCGGGCTGCAAGGGTGAGACACGGGGGAGACGGGCGGGGCTGTGAGGGTGAGACACGGGGGAGACGGGCGGGGCTGTGAGGGTGAGACACGGGGGAGACAGGCGGGGCTGTGAGGGTGAGACACGGGGGAGACGGGCGGGGCTGCGAGGGTGAGACACGGGGGAGACGGGCGGGGCTGTGAGGGTGAGACACGGGGGAGACGGGCGGGGCTGCGAGGGTGAGACACGGGGGAGACGGGCGGGGCTGCGAGGGTGAGACACGGGGGAGACGGGCGGGGCTGCGAGGGTGAGACACGGGGGAGACGGGCGGGGCTGTGAGGGTGAGACACGGGGGAGACGGGCGGGGCTGTGAGGGTGAGACACGGGGGAGACGGGCAGGCTGTGAGGGTGAGACACGGGGGAGACAGGCGGGGCTGTGAGGGTGAGACACGGGGGAGACAGGCGGGGCTGTGAGGGTGAGACACGGGGAGACGGGCGGGGCTGTGAGGGTGAGACACGGGGGAGACGGGCGGGGCTGCGAGGGTGAGACACGGGGGAGACGGGCGGGGCTGCGAGGGTGAGACACGGGGAGACGGGCGGGGCTGCGAGGGTGAGACACGGGGAGACGGGCAGGCTGTGAGGGTGAGACACGGGGGAGACAGGCGGGGCTGTGAGGGTGAGACACGGGGGAGACGGGCGGGGCTGTGAGGGTGAGACACGGGGGACGGGCGGGGCTGTGAGGGTGAGACGGGGGAGACGGGCGGGGCTGTGAGGGTGAGACACGGGGGAGACGGGCGGGGCTGCGAGGGTGAGACACGGGGGAGACGGGCGGGGCTGCGAGGGTGAGACACGGGGAGACGGGCGGGGCTGCGAGGGTGAGACACGGGGGAGACGGGGGGGCGGGCGGGGCTGTGAGGGTGAGACACGGGGGAGACGGGCGGGGCTGCGAGGGTGAGACACGGGGGAGACGGGCGGGGCTGCAAGGGTGAGACACGGGGAGACGGCGGGGGGCTGCGAGGGTGAGACACGGGGAGGCGGGCGGGCTGTGAGGGTGAGACACGGGGAGACAGCGGGGCTGTGAGGGTGAGACACGGGGAGACAGGCGGGGCTGTGAGGGTGAGACACGGGGGAGACAGGCGGGGCTGTGAGGGTGAGACACGGGGGAGACGGGCGGGGCTGTGAGGGTGAGACACGGGGGAGACGGGGCGGGGCTGCGAGGGTGAGACACGGAGAGGACGGGCGGGGCTGCGAGGGTGAGACACGGGGAGACGGGCGGGGCTGCGAGGGTGAGACACGGGGAGACAGGCGGGGCTGTGAGGGTGATGACACGGGGGAGACAGGCGGGGCTGTGAGGGTGAGACACGGGGAGACGGGCGGGGCTGTGAGGGTGAGACACGGGGGAGACGGGCGGGGCTGTGAGGGTGAGACACGGGGGAGACGGGCGGGGCTGCGAGGGTGAGACGGGGGAGACGGCGGGGCTGAGGGTGAGACACGGGGGGAGACGGGGGGCTGCGAGGGTGAGACACGGGGGAGACGGGCGGGGCTGTGAGGTGTGGGGGAGACACGGGGCTGAGACACGGGGGAGACGGGGGGCTGCAAGGGTGAGACACGGGGAGACGGGGGCGGGGCTGTGAGGGTGGAGGACACGGGGGAGGGCTGCACGGGGGACACGTCGGGCGGGGCTGTGAGGGTGAGACACGGGGGAGACGGGCGGGGGGCTGTGAGGGTGAGACACGGGGGAGACGGGCGGGGCTGCGAGGGTGAGACACGGGGAGACGGGCGGGGCTGTGAGGGTGAGACACGGGGGAGACGGGCGGGCTGTGAGGGTGAGACACGGGGGAGACAGGCGGGGCTGTGAGGGTGAGACACGGGGGGGAGACCAGGCGGGGCTGTGAGGGTGAGACACGGGGAGACGGGCGGGGCTGTGAGGGTGAGACACGGGGGAGACGGGCGGGGCTGCGGTGGGTGAGACACGGGGGAGACGGGCGGGGGCTGCGAGGGTGAGACACGGGGGAGACGGGCGGGCTGTGAGGGTGAGACACGGGGGAGACGGGCGGGGCTGCGAGGGTGAGACACGGTGGGGAGACGGGCGGGGGATAAATGTCACACATGTTGATAAATGTCACACATGTGATTAATGTCACACATGTGATAAATGTCACACATGTGATAAATGTCACACATCATACATGTTGATAAATGTCATACATGTGATAAATGTCATACATGTTGATACATTTCATACATGTGATAAATGTCATACATGTTGATAAATGTCATACATGTGATAAATGTCATACATGTGATAAATGTCATACATGTGATAAATGTCATACATGTTGATAAATGTCACACATGTGATAAATGTCATACATGTGATAAATGTCATACATGTGATAAATGTCATACATGTTGATAAATGTCACACATGTGATAAATGTCATATATGTTGATAAATGTCACACATGTTGATAAATGTCACACATGTTGATAAATGTCACACATGTGATAAATGCCATACATGTTGATAAATGTCATAATGTGATAAATGTCATACATGTTGATAAATGTCATACATGTGATAAATGTCATACATGTTGATAAATGTCATACATGTGATAAATATCATACATGTGATAAATGTCATACATGTTGATAAACGTCATACATGTGATAAATGTCATACATGTTAATAAATGTCATACATGTTGATAAATGTCATACATGTTGATAAATGTCATACATGTGATAAATGTCACACATGTGATAAATGTCACACATGTTGATAAATGTCACACATGTTGATAAATGACACACATGTTGATAAATGTCATACATGTGATAAATGTCATACATGTGATAAATGTCACACATGTGATAAATGTCATACAAGTTGATAAATGTCACACATGTTGATAAATGTCACACGTGATAAATGTCACACATGTTGATAAATGTCACACATGTGATAAATGTCACACATGTTGATAAATGTCACACATGTGATTAATGTCACACATGTGATAAATGTCACACATGTGATAAATGTCACTCATGTGATAAATGTCACACATCATACATGTTGATAAATGTCATACATTTGATAAATGTCACACATGTTGATAAATGTCACACATGTGATTAATGTCACACATGTGATTAATGTCACACATGTGATAAATGTCACACATCATACATGTTGATAAATGTCATACATGTGATAAATGTCATACATGTTGATAAATTTCATACATGTGATAAATGTCATACATGTTGATAAATGTCATACATGTGATAAATGTCATACATGTGATAAATGTCATACATGTGATAAATGTCATACATGTTGATAAATGTCACACATGTGATAAATGTCATATATGTTGATAAATGTCACACATGTTGATAAATGTCACACATGTGATAAATGTCATACATGTGATAAATGTCACACATGTCATACATGTTGATAAATGTCATACATGTGATAAATGTCATACATGTTGATAAATGTCACACATGTGATAAATGTCACACATGTGATAAATGTCACACATGTTGATAAATGTCACACATGTTGATAAATGTCATACATGTGATAAATGTCATACATGTTGATAAATGTCACATCATACATGTTGATAAATGTCATACATGTTGATAAATGTCACACATGTTGATAAATGTCACACATGTGATAAATGTCATACATGTTGATAAATGTCACACATGTTGATAAATGTCACACATGTGATAAATGTCACACATGTTGATAAATGTCACACATGTTGATAAATGTCATACATGTGATAAATGTCACACATGTGATAAATGTCACACATGTTGATAAATGTCACACATGTGATAAATGTCATACATGTTGATAAATGTCATACATGTTGATAAATGTCATACATGTGATAAATGTCACACATGTTGATAAATGTCATACATGTGATAAATGTCACACATGTGATAAATGTCACACATGTTGATAAATGTCACACATGTGATAAATGACATACATGTTGATAAATGTCATACATGTTGATAAATGTCATACATGTGATAAATGTCACACATGTGATAAATGTCACACATGTTGATAAATGTCATACATGTTGATAAATATCATACATGTGATAAATGTCATACATGTTGATAAATGTCATACATGTAATAAATGTCACACATGTGATAAATGTCACACATGTGATAAATGTCACACATGTTGATAAATGTCACACATTTTGATAAATGTCCTACATGTTGATAAATGTCACACATGTTGATAAATGCCACACATGTGATAAATGTCATACATGTGATAAATGTCATACTTGTGATAAATGTAATACCTTGTTGATAAATGTCATACATGTTGATAAATGTCATACATGTAATAAATGTCACACATGTGATAAATGTCACACATGTTGATAAATGTCACACATTTTGATAAATGTCATACATGTTGATAAATGTCACACATGTTGATAAATGTCACATATTTTGATAAATGTCACACATGTTGATAAATGTCACACATGTTGATAAATGCCACACATGTGATAAATGTCATACATGTGATAAATGTCATACTTGTGATAAATGTAATACCTTGTTGTAGAATGTTAACGCATCCTGGATCACCACAGTCCTTCTAGTTGGACACTAACTGTCCAACAGACTCCTGCATCAGAGGGAAAACTGTTAAGAAAACCCAGTGGGAAAAAGTGAGAAAGGGATCCGCTCCTCCGGACGGACAGGCTAATGATCCAGGACCTAAGCTAGCTACAGAACGTGGACCAGCGGCCGCTGAACGTGGACAGGTCCGGTGCAGGACTGAAGCACTCCCAGGCCTTCAGGCCTAAAGGCCAATGCTCTACCAACTGAGCTAATGTCGTCCCTGAGTTAATGTCAGGGAGATCACTCTTTTTCCGGTGGCCTTCCTCGGAAATCAAGAGTGATCTCCCTGAAAACCTTCTTGTTTCGTATTGAGCCGTTGAGCTTGTGAGATTTCATAACACTTTGAAGCAACTTTTGTTAAAGTTAAACTCATCATTCTATCAATGTGCAGAAGCCAGTACTTTTCCCTTGTTTTGTCTATCTGAAGGCCAAGCTACAAGCACACCGTGGCAGCTGCTGATTGGAGGTCTCCATGCCAACGCTCTGTATAATACACTTGCATTCTGTTGTTTCTGTGATCGTGTGCTTTGTTCGTGCTGTCTCTACCATCGACAATAAAACATGTCTTCTGTCTGAATTTAAGACACGATCCCAGACTATGTCATCTTCTTCAAGCTGCCTTTGAATTCTTTCTTCGGCCTAAAGAGAGTAACGTGTGGACCTCGACCGACCAGAGCCTTTTGGGGCTTTCTCTGCAATTCTAATTCTCTGGAGTGAGGAGGACGTGTGATAGCCTATAATAGATCCATGGTTATAGCAGAGCAGTTGGGTTTAAAGATGGCGGTTGAGTTTTTACCATAGACTATATATTAACGGACAGAGTCACGCCTATCTCCGCCGTTCTAACTAGTGGGCCAAAAAATGTGCTCTACTGGAGCTATTCAAAATGGCCGCGAGTGGTCCCGCCCACAAGAAAATTGTGAAAAAACGCATCTGTGCATACGTCAGCCGGCGCAGCTCCATTCATTTGAACGAGAGACTTCTAAAGTCCACAGCGACTAAACTAGACTGGTCCAGAACACTCAGCATTGACACACATGTGGAACGGAGCTTTGGACCAAGAGACAACTTTTGGACCATCCTGTAAAGACGTTTTCCAGAGGTCTGCCAATGCTATATGTTAGCATTGGCTAATTCTTATTCCGGGTCCACCCCCACAGGCCCGGGGTGGTACTGCAGCGTGTCAGCGCACGTCATTTTGGCCACTTTTGAGCTGGGACCCTCCCCCACTGGTTTTTACCAAAGGGTTGGACGTCGCTTCCAGTGATGACACTCATTGACCAATCAGTGTAAGGCAGTCGGCCGACGTCACGTCATGGTGTAGCTTTGGCACGCTTGGAACCACGGTCGAGGTGGTACGAAAAAAGTACCCTTATCCCAAGCCCAACCCTAGTGGAAATGCAAAATAACCGTGCCGTACCCTACCGTTACTGTGGAAAAGCGGCACAAGTGTGAGATAAGAGAAATATGAGCTATATAAAGATTGACCAATTAGAAGCCTTCATTTGTGGTGGAGACTTCATGAAAGGAAAGTGGCTCCAGCTGAGGTTCAAAGCTTCATCTGCATTAAGGCTAACACTGTTGTGATGTCACACTCTCAGTCCACTCCTAACATAACCTAATGTGTCTCCCCTCTCCCTCTACCCTTCTCTTCTACCCTTCTCTTCCTCCCTCTATCTCCCTCCTCTCTCCCCCCTCTCCCCTCTCCTCCCCTCCCCCTTAGATGTGGACGAGTGCTCGGACAACAATGGTGGCTGTCAGCAGGTCTGTGTGAACACCATGGGAAGCTACGAGTGTCAGTGTAAACACGGCTTTTTCCTCAGTGATAACCAGCACACCTGCATCCACCGCTCTGATGGTAACACACACAGACACACACACACACACCTGCATCCACCGCTCTGATGGTAACACACACAGACACACACACACACACACTGCATCCACCGCTCTGATGGTAACACACACAGACACACACACACACACCTGCATCCACCGCTCTGATGGTAACACACACAGACACACACACACACACACACACACACACCTGCATCCACCGCTCTGATGGTAACACACACAGACACACACACACACACACACACTGCATCCACCGCTCTGATGGTAACACACACAGACACACACACACACACACCTGCATCCACCGCTCTGACGGTAACACACACAGACACACACACACACACACCTGCATCCACCGCTCTGATGGTAACACACACAGACACACACACACACACACCTGCATCCACCGCTCTGACGGTAACACACACAGACACACACACACACACACCTGCATCCACCGCTCTGATGGTAACACACACAGACACACACACACACACACCTGTATCCACCGCTCTGATGGTAACACACACAGACACACACACACACACACACACACACACACCTG